TTAATTCAAAATTGCCAAAATTATAAATTTCCTAATTTATCTATTAATTTGTGGTTAATATTGGTTCTCACAGTTACCACAAACTAATTAGTTCTCATTTGATTAGACCCCTATATATATATATATATATATATGATATATGATATATTTCAAATGCAACCCTCTCTATTATTACAACCAATATAATCAAATCTTGACCATCCACTAGATTTTTGTCCTTTTCTTTTTAGCTGAAAAAGGTACTTACGTCTTTGATAAATACATGATAGTTACTTTTTTAATAGCATAATATTTTCAATGTTTCCATCCATAATTCTATTTCTTTTTTTCTTTAATTTCTAATTGACTTGGGAAGGATTGTTATCTTCTTCTTCAAAGTTCATGTTGAACCATCTCCATCTTCCCACCATCTAATGCAGAGGAAATGATCAAAGATGAACATAAAAGTTCTTCATCCAAAAATCATTTAGGCTCATAAAAGTTCAAATTTATTGTAGTTTCACAAAGTAATATAGCATTACACATGAATTGTAAGCAAGTATGTGGTGTAAACAAAGAAGAAGATGAACTTGAAGAGTCGATCCATTGGACTCGTGGGACTTAACAAGATGATCGTATTGTTGCTTAATCTTCCTCTGTGTGGCGCTAGAAGAAGAAGTAAAAGAATATAAACACAATAAAATCTTGATTTTTTTCCTCCTTTTCTATAGCCGCAATCAGTTCATCCTTAACTACTATTTGAGATTTCGAGAAATCGTTGCCATCTAATCGTTTTTCCTTCCTCTTTTCTTCTCCTCCTTCTTCTTCCCACACTCCTCATCCCTAATCGTCGTAGAAACGTTGTTATTCACCGCCTGATCATCCTCAAAAGAGCCGGCAAGATCTCAAGAAGCAAGGAATTATTAACGTTCAAATTGTGGGATTTTAGGTTTTAAATATTGGTATTGCGATCGTCACTATTGATAATACAAAATAATGATGCAACTTCATTCAACTATGAAAACAAATGATGCAACTATCTTCAGTAAATAGTTTCAAATGAAGATACCATATTCTTTTTGTTTAACCAAATGACGTAACTACATTCAGTAATGAAATTCAAATGATGCAACCATATTCTTTTGGTTCAACCAAATGATTCAACCACATTCAATATTGACATAAACTATTGACTAACATGTTCATCAAACAAGTTTTATAATTTGTATGGACTAGTCAAAGGGACTAATAATGAAGCAGT